GGTAACAAATCTTTGTCTCTAATTCTCGTTTGTATATAATTTATTTTGATATATTTTGACTATTATTCTTCCTATAACTTAGGTGGTCTCAAATGAATTATTATCTTGGCATCGTTTTATCAGTATGGATTATTGGTCCGTTGATGTACTTTAATAATATCTTGTTAGTAATTATTTAAGAATTATATTACGTAGAATTATATTATTTAGTTACTGTATTATAGAATTGTATTATTTTGCTTTTGTAGAATTGTTAGATATTTTACCTATTAATTTGCTAATTCTATTTAGTGATGCCAAAAAATTTCCATATATTTCTCCTCTTTCATATGATAAATACGGAAACATGTAAGTATTATTCTTTTTATTTGCTAAATTATGTGAATAATATATTTATTTATTTATTTAATATTTATCTATCTGTTTATATATTTATTTTATAGTTATAACCAGACAAGTGTCATTGATCCAACAACTGGTGCACTCAATGTTACTGCATACGAAAATTATAGCCCTGTGTATATTACTGCCATGCTGGCTACTTGTTACGGCGTAAATTTCATGGTGATTCCCGCCACCATTTGTCATGTGATACTATTTCACGGGAAAGAAATTTGGAATCAATACAAAAAAACTCGTGAAGAGGAGGATTCTGATATTCACTGCAAAATGATGGATGTTTATCCAGGTTTCCTAAATATTTTTATATTTTTTCATTTATTCATTTATAATGACTATCGAGCCAGTTTTTAAAAATATGAATGTTTTATATTGATAACAGAAGTACCACATTATTGGTATACTTCTATTTTCTTTGTCATGATAATAATCGCAATTATCCTCTGCTTTACAAATGGTACGAATCTTCCTTGGTGGGGATTATTGTTAGCTGTTGCTATTTCTGCGATTATGGTACTTCCAATTGGTATAATATTTATAATCACTTGTTTAAATAATCTTATTTAAATTATCGGAATAATCTTGTTTAAAATATAATTTCATTATTCTCGCCTATTTATAGGAATTATTCTAGCCATCTCAAATTTCGGAACTGGTTTAAGCGTTATAACCGAATTGGTGTGCGGTTTTATCTTACCAGGTCGTCCTATTGCAAATTTATATTTTAAATGTTTTGGATCTGTGACTTTAAATCAATGTTTGTCATTTGTTCAAGATCTAAAATTGGGTATACTTATTTTTATAAAAAAATTTTTACTGTTATCAAAATTATCCAAATATTGTTTTAACTTTTTTTTTAATATTAAAAGGCCATTATTTGAAAATTCCTCCAAGAAGCATGTTCATATCACAAATATGGGGTACATTTGTTGGCATAGTTGTAAACTATTGGACGTTGAATATTATAATTAATACGAAAAGATCTTACATTGATGGTACAGAAGCTGACCCAAGTGGTCAAGTTAGTAATTTTTTCTTTAATCATAATGTCTTTTTTTTTTCTTTAAATAATATTCTCTAATACTTGCTATGTAGTGGGCTGGCCTAAGTACGGAAATCTTCAATACCGCATCTATATTATGGGGATTGATTGGACCGGCAAGGACTTTCGGGGTATGTTAAATCAAATAAATGCTACAGTATTTTATTATTGAAGTGGTAAATTGTGCATAAATCTAATATTATTTGTTTCTGTAGCCTGGCTCAAATTATAATATACTCCTTTGGGGCTTCCTAATTGGTGGCTTTTTACCAATACCATTTTATTTCCTTCATCGAAGGTTTC